CTTTTTCGTGAATAACTTCAAACTTACAGTCACTTGTCTCATTTCAGTAAATTTTATAGCATGTATATTAAACAAGATCATGAATCGATTGGAGTTGGACGTTAACATTGTTGGATGTCGGCTCAGTAGTTTAGAGGTTAGGCGTTTGAGCGAGATCGATGATCCTGGGTTTGATGCGCACTACCTAGAAGTCCGATACTAGGACGAAACGGCCGTCCAATGCTTTCAGATTTTCAATGGTAGTCTAACTTACATAGACTCATGAATTCAACCATTAAAATCACTACAATCTCCACAAACCCCTATTCCAAATTTTTTATATATTGTTAAAAAAGTACGAGTTGGTAGCTACTATGTAAGGTATGTCCTTTATCCATACAATTAGCTGATAACTTTACCTATGCTTTGGTTAGCATAATGAGTATCATATCAATAATATGGAGACCATTTATGATCTCTTCTTAATCTAAGTCTATTGAAACTCACAAATCATCCCTGCATAAATACATATAATTACTCCATCTTTGATAAGGGCATAATTACTATCTAATTTTTAAATATTATGTAATTGTCATTATTTAATGTTTAGATTAAGAACATTTTTATTTAAGTGCCATGTAGATTTTGATAAAAATTGTCTTAACTACGATAAGTAATTGAAAGTACATTAGTATAATTAATGATTACATCACAAAACTATTCAAAACTATAATATTGTAAAATCATTTAAGTTGATGTAATCTATTTAGACAATTAATCTATGTGGATTTTCTTTCATTTATTGTTAATATCGGTAAATAAAAACCTCCATTTTAATAACACAAAGATCTTAAAATTAAATTTGCCTAAAAAAAAATGTTGACATAAATCTTCGATATTCTCTACGATTTATTTCTTTTTAAATGGTAAACAAATATTAGCCGACTTCCAGAGTTAATTCTCGAAGTTGTAGTGAGATGCCATGACCAGTAGAGTTGAACCGTGTCAGATGTGAAGCAGTTACCTAGCGAGGACAATGGAAGATAGTTGCGCAAAATCATGGACTGATTGAAGTTAGACATTAACACTGTTGGATGCCTGCTCATTGATCTAGAAGTTATGAATTTGCGCAAGACCGAAGGTCCTGGATTGAACCCCATGTTCGAGGTCGTGGATGTGCATTGCCGAGGAGTCCCATACTGAGATGAAAGGGTCGTCCAGTGCTTCCAGGTTTTCAATGGTGGTCTAAGGTTGATTGGTTCATGATTTCAATGAAACTCAACAAGCTCCATAACCTTAAAATTAAATTTACAAACTTCATTTTTAAAAATCGAATAAGAACAGTTCAAATATATTTTGTTTACATAGTTAACATCATTGATGAATGTTGAGTCACTAAGTGGTGTTTAAAACATGTCATATATAATACGAATCTCAAATTTTCTATCAAATAACCACCATTACTTGGATAAACTCCGCCTGAAGCCCCTCTGGAGCTACTGCTGGTCCCAAGCCCGGATAAAGGAGTAGGGTTAGGCATGGGGTTGGCGACCCCATCTCGTAGACAACTAATTCGCTAAAAAAACGTTAACCAGAAAAAAATTATTCAAACTACTTAAACTCTCCCCTGGGAGTCAAAAGGTCTTCATTCAGAAGAGTTATGACGCCTCACGATGAAAGCCGAGTTCCTTCGAAAGCCACGAGTCTGATGCTCATTCTGACAATCAGAGCAACTATTTGTTTTTATTTATTTTTGAATAATAATTTACATATCTAAAGAGTTTTCATATTCCCGAACATGTCAGTAGATCATAATCATTATTGTAAATCTACTTGCTTTTACATTTAGAAATATTGAACAGTTTATCACTATATAGTCATTTCATATAATCCACTATTTAGTATAGAACATAATATTCAATTCTTTTTTCTTTTACCACAAAAGCTGAGTCTGTTAAAAATAAGAAAATAATCTTATTTCATTATACCTTAGAGTATATTTTCATATTTTATAATAGTTAATTATAGGATCATCGCAAAGTGGACATTGTTCTACCTACACTTGGTTGTCTACAAAATATACCTTATTTAAACCAAGAATTAATATTTAAGAAAAAAAAAATTAGATGAACATACGCTGGCTAACATCATTGCTTTAATTTGAATATGATTAAGTTGTACCTTGAGGTAACGTAAGCCCATAAATCTATTTTTCAGATAATGTTGTTTTGTTTGGTGGCTAGTCGGATTTGCGTTTCATTCTATCTAGGAACTGTGAACTAGATCTGTCTGGATTCAAGAGTTGATGTCCATATTGGCATTCCAATCCAGGTTCCTTTAACTTCAAACAACAACGCGTTATCCACCTAGCTACTGAGTTCAAATGGCTATTTACTTGTGGAATAGGATGAATTTTAATTCATCTACTTGAAATACCTGTACAGTCCGCACAGGATACATATTTGTCAAAAGATATTGATCAGCTGCAGTCTTAAGTAAATATGAGAAGATTCAACCAACTAATACATATTATTCAGATTACTTTCAAATTAAATTTTTTAAAAATAATTAAAAATAACTTATGCTTATGTATCTTTGATACATTAAACTTGTTCTGTCTGCTATCCTTGTTAATGATATCCCATGGTACTAATACATTTCTGTAGAATTTGCAGAAGAACTAAGTCGAATAAAGCCATTGAGATGGAGTAGGATTTACCTAGACCAGATTTTAGATTCTGAGATATCTCAGTGCTTTTAAGTATCACACCTCTTGTAGGTGTTCTGTATTCAAAATCGGATCATTCAGTTCATAAAAGCTAGTTTACATGGATTTATAGGGTCAGTAATTGGAACCCATCCTATATTATCAACAACTCATCAAACGAAAAACTCCAGTGATATGTCAACGACATGACACTTGTGTTATAACATGATGTTAATAGCCATGTCTTTGTAAGATTAATATTTTTCAGATTATCTATAAGTATATCAACTTGTCTTGGATCAATAATTTACGTGGTACGTCAATCATTTAATAGTTATAAACTTATTGCTATTAAGTTATATGTCTATATCGAATGTCAATAAAAAACATTTACGTATGACCTTTTTTGTTTTGAAAAAAAATAAGAAAAGGCCTAATTCTGTCATGGTAACTAGGTCTAATTGCTGTCCATTTGGTATACATAACTTTTTAGTTTTATTCTATTAATTTTTTACCTGTGTTTGTTACATAATTACGTCATTTACCACGGGTGAGCTTATACTCTGTATTTTGCTAAGTTAAAGTAAACATTAACCATGAAGTTTATCCTATTAATTTGATGTGTCTACATATTTAACTATTGAAAATAAATATTGCGTAAATTCGACTAAATTGATATATGGAGCAGAAATTTCATTGCTAGAGGGATAAAAGATGAACAAAGACAAAGAATTCTGATGAATGTTAATCTAGTATAAAGTGAATGTTTAATAGGTTGACATTTGATAACAGTTCATGATAGATTTACTTTTACAATTATTTGACACAAATATCATCTAGAAAATTAACTTGAATGACTAACAGAAACAATTATTCAAATATGTCGGTTCGAATTCTTATAGCTCCTGTTATACATACAAAAGGTGACTGCTATCCACCGAATGTACCAGAATTGAACTATGTGCAATTTCCGTTTGATCCTTTTCAAACAACGCAGAGAGATGTTCGCTGGTTAAGTTGCCCATTTTCACAGAAGCTGAGCTTGTAGTTAAACATCGAAGAGATAAACTCAGATAACTTATCCTCTTTTTGAGTTTACATCACTTTCCAACTAGAAAAAAACGCAAATAAGATTGGCTGAGCACACTCTTCCTTTAATCAATCTAGCTAATTTATTATACAGCACATTGTTAAAGTGAAACCAGATGAAGACAACATGAAGCTCCAGATTGGTGCACCTGATAAACAGCGACCATATGATGGATTTAACCAAATCAGTTCAAGTGATCCATGGAATACCTCCGTCCTCCCTCTAATGGGGCTTTGCCCTTTATTTACATAATTAAGGAAAGTGAAACCATAATAGTTGGTAGCAAAACTCTTAATCAGATCAGACCAATTAAACTAAGTTAGCATGATAGTGCAGACATCGCAGTGATGAATTAACGCACAAGCCTCGGATACAAGTTTGAATTAGCACACCAAGGTTTGTATGAAACTTGAAGAGCTGACGGTTGACAAAATACTAGTGCATTCAGAGAATCGGTGTAGTATCTACTGAATGTTAAAGAGATCTAGACTAGGGTGTCGAAACATGTCAGTTATGTCTAGGTCATGACTTATTCGATTGAAAAAATCTTCATGTCCTCCAAATATATTAGTTGTTCGTGCCTTATCAGTAAAGTAGGTGACCTCAGTTCTATGGCAAATGTTTAAACAGTGCTATGGAGGGAAAGCTCATAATAAGCGTTATTGATGTTGTCTGACTCGAAAAGAGTGAGTAATCGGACGAAGTTGGAGACCTATGTCAATGGTAGCCGCTTGGACTTTTATGGGAAAAGTACTTGAATGAAGACCAAACAAACAAATATTAGAAAAACTGTAACGTCACCTTGTTTATCTGAACAGAACAGGTTACCTGACTGTAGTCCCTAAGTTGACAAAAATTCACGATAAGATGCCTGCGATGGTACAGATAAATTTATCTCTTTTGTAAAGCTTTACAAGTTTTTCAAGGAAACTAATTGGACAACACCCACTTTCAAGTTTTTTATACTCTCTTGTCTACTCGTGAACTTTAATGTAGTGTTTTCTAAAATTGAACTAAATCACCTTTTTTTATCATAAAGCTTTGTTGCTTTGATTTATCCTCGTCACTCTAACTCTGTCTTAGAAAATAAGTTATTAAACAAGTAACTAGTGACGATTCCAACCACCATAAACATACTTTGAAAATCTTTAACTCAGTTTGCTAATTCGCTTACAAAAAACGAATTTAGAAATTTCTAATCAGTCTTTTAAAAACATCGAAAATGATAAAGCAAATAAACTGTTTTTTAAAGGTCACAACATTACTGACGAACGAAACAGTAAAGCAAAATGGATTCAACAAAACAAATAATTAGTGAGGAAAACAACTAGAAAAGAAGAGAAAATCAAGAGAAAAGCTTCCTAACATACACAGAAAGTAAATTGTGTACGGTAGGAGAAAAAACAATGCAACAACACATGAGGATGAGCATATAGTGAAAGAATGAGGAAGGACCACTTTAATGTGCTCCCTGTTTTTAAATTAATTCAAGTAAACAACAAAAGAAAAAAACAAGTAATGAAAGCAACAAATACACAAAATAATTTATGTGAATATATTTTTTAAAACAGAACTAACTAATTGAATATTGTTATAGTGTTCTTACTTTGTACAGTAAACTTTCAATTTTCATGTGTGATATACAAATATTAAATGAGTAAAAACTATGTGTCCACTTCAAAAATTTGCATAGAATACTGACTGATAGAATACGTGAAGGAACATGAACAGGGAAAGACCTTGAAGAGTGAACGAGTATATAACGGAAAAACTGAAATGCATTTTATTTTCAAGGATGCACTCGGACGTGAGCACATCAATATAATATATATATCGACTCGGACAAAAACGTCATTCGACGCAGAGAATATACAAAAAGGCTCATAATGAAAGTATTGAAATATGAATTGAACTGTGTTTGTACTACACACTCACATACACAGTCGTATACGAAGATGAAAAACCATTAGTCATAATTATTTTTTGGAAGTCGTACATTTTTCATATGATGAATATGCTCATTAATAATGTTGTATACAACAATTATACAGAATGCCAGGAACAAGAATGAAAAGATAATCCTATGATCTTTCCTCTGTCAAATCCAAACGATAATATTAGTATTGTACACTTTTGTGTGTGTATGTGTATGAAAGGAACAAACAATCTTACAAATAAAATTGATTAGCTAGCTGCACAAACATTACCACTGTAGAGCAATGGTAATATTAAGAAAAATTGTTGAGATAAGTATACAAAAGAAAGACACAATACGATCATATCTAATTGAAAGAATGGTCGAAGACACCAGAATAAGGTTCAGCTATAATGTATTTGTATATGTATATTGAATATTAAAAGAGAAAATAATCCCTGAGTTGATGACAAAAAATTCTTTCTTTCAAGGATGATCATAAGCTGATGTTAACAATAATAATAACAATAATGATGAATAGTGTTTGTGTGATGGGACACTTCTTTTATCAAAGTATTACTCACTTATCATTATGCAGAAACTTCAAATAAATTCTTAACACCGGGTTTAACATTATATATATCATTTCACGATAAAGAGGACTTTTTGTCAAAATGAATGAGTTTTCTTAATACACTGTTAAATGAAAATATTGATTTCTGAAGTATACTGAATGTTTATAGTTAAGTGAATGAATTTGTGAATGTAGTAGTAAGAATAATAAAGATGCACTCAAAAATTAAGACATTAAATATGTATAATATAGTGAAAGTAGTAGTGCATTGTTATACACAACGGCTGTTGAATATGGATTGAGACATGTCAGCGAACCAAATGAACTTCTTTACGGTTCAAAAAGGAGTGGAAGTAGCCATTCATCTTCTTCAACCGGTCTGAAAATAGGATAATAATGAGAATAATATGTTAATATTGTTTTCTTTTTGGTAGCGAGATTGAAGGACAACAGAAAAGGTGAGAGTTGTACCCTTGAATAGTACGATAATTGAGTGATAAGGGAATATCATCCAACAATTTTATAAAGTGAAGCTATAAAAGACACATATTCATTGTGAAATCTGGTAATACTAATGGCTGGTCAAACTAAAATAGATGGAATCTTCAACTAAGGTAGTTGATAATCCCGTGATTCAAACACTAATCTAATCCGCTTATTAGTTGATTATTTCGAGAGGCCCTAAAATTTCACAAGATTTATTTAACTATTATTTTAGGTGAACAGTCAATAAAAATACACTCAATCCAAATAACAGGCTTTATATAAGAGACAAAATAGATATTAAATGTGTGAAGTTCCAAATTGGATTGATTAGTAACTGTATATGGATGAAGTACTTTATTTTATTGCTCAGTAATTCAAAGTACAACATTGTCTACAGGCTAAAATGTGTTAGAATAATTTAGCTTTTATAAATCGAATATCTTTAATGGATAAAACGAAGGTAGAAAACTATGGAATGAAAAGTTTGGTAATTCATACCGTTTTTATTGAAATAATGGACCGATCAATCTTGAACCACCATTGAAAACCTGGGACCACTGGACGGCCGTCTCGTCCTAATATGGGACTCCTCATCAGTGCTCACACATGACTCCGCATGTGGGATTCGAACGCTTAACCTCTGAACTACTGAGCCGGCGTCCAACTTCAACCAATCCCATACTAATAATTCATAATGTACTGGTAGAATGTGGCATAAAAAGTTTATAAATATGTGGATTTCTGAAAACTATTTGTCAAATCAATAATATGACATATTATTAACAGAGTCGAATATAAAAAATATATATATTCATGTATTTTAGGACGGATGAATGTTTACTCAATAGCTGCATTAAAATCCTTAAAAAAATAAGGTAGATGACTGGCATGTTAAAAGTAAAACACCTGATAACTCACTCATAGTCTTCAGAGATTGTATCCAATGGTGTAGGACTCGAATAACCAACACGAAACTGACGTCTAGTTACAAATAATCCTGTTCTTCTGCGACTAGGTTGCGGAGGATCACGATAATATAATTCATACAGTTGACCCACAAGATTTGCACATTCACATACATCAAACCAATCGACCTAAAAGGCATTAAGAATTAACAAAATTATGAGCAGTTAACTAAGTAAATTGATCAATTCGATATAAAATGATTATTCAGTCACTTAAAAGCACAATAAAGATCAGAATAACAAGTGATTTCGAGTATCACACTTTGGTTATCTATACTGTAGAATACTTCTTGAGGTATCTGAAAACGAAACTGCATTAATCGTAGTTTTATTGACCTACAAATGTGAGTACAGAGCCGAAGAGACAACTAACTGCTTAAATTTGACCACACACGGCCTTTTAGAGAAGTCTTTCATGTGCTAGATCCGTGTTTTGAAGGACTTACCGTCAGTACTGGAAATCCTTAGGGTAAGATATGCTATTTTTAGGGCCGACCATTCTTAATCCGCTTCTTTCGTTGTGATAAAGTAGCATAGTTGCAGATGTTGACTGCTTCAGGGGAACATCTTACTACCATCACACTTTAGTACAATCAGCAGTACGACTTCGCTCTTGGACCCTACTGTGTTGTCTTTAGTATTACCTGAATACATGAAGATTTGAATATTATTTATGGCAGATCTAAAGCCAGTATAAATATATAGCTTAGTTAAGATAACAAAATACTTAAGCATATCTCAACTTCTTTTTATGTGATTATCAACTAGAAAAATGTAGTGAATGGATCGTATTAGAAGGTGGTGCTGATGATAATTAGCATGCATACCCAAGTTGCCAAACTTGACATGAGATCAACATGATGAAAAGCTAAGAGGTCAAAATAATGACCTCAATGGTAGTGCATAAAAAACACATAGAGGCAATAATACCAATAAAATTCAGTAAGTGTAAAAAGTTAGAGTAAGTTATCTAAACTGAAGTAGGAGGCAGGGTTTGAAACTGGGACCTAATGGCTGACGGTTATCTAAGACCAAATAAGAATAGCATGATAGACTGATCCGATGTCTTGATTTAGTCGGCTGTAAATCTTTTTGTTATTATATCTTATGCTAGCTGGAACGACACATTGATGTGGATGTAACGCAAACACTCTAAACACATCAAGTCGATTAAAATTAGTAGCCTAATCAACTGATCCGGTATCTCTACCTATGACTCTACAGCTGCACCTCATAATTTTTTTCGAACTATGATTACACCTGATAACACTAGTCTGTCATGTTTCAATTACTTTTTCACGATCATATACAGTCAATGGTAATAATTAGTGAAATAAATTACGGTGTACAAAAGATCATATATAGTTGTACGCAACAGTAAATGATGTACAATATAACTCTATGTAAATTTTCGCTTAGTTATTTTATTTATAAGAGAAAAATAAAAAATTTACCTCACATACTACCGGATACAAAAGTGAGCTACATATGATACACTAACCATTTACAACATCTAGTTTTAAAAACTGGATTTTAATGGGACATTGAAAACATATATTTACACACTTCCATTATATACATTCAGTTTCATCGAAAAGAATGTCCATTTATAAAAATTAGCATCAACAATCAATTGTGAGTTAGCATTTATCGTTTGCTGAACATAGGAAAACAAGCGCCTATTCAATCATTACCAAGTTCCTCTTTTTATTAATCTTGAAATAAGTTATAATATCAGAAATCCAAACATTTGCAATTGACGCCTGTTTATAAGTTGAGTATACGGGCAGTTAAGCTTGCTCAGTACATTTTTGGGTAGTAATGGATTACGTAATATATACGTATACGTTAGCTAGCAAAATTCGGCTCGAATAAAAACACATAAAGCTCGAAATATCAATACTGACATTAAGGTTAATAAACTGAGAAAACTCTTCAAACACTTTCTATAATTCCTACACACGGCATACTTTGAAAACAATCGTGATATTGGGACCAATGTACACAATTTAATGTCACTTAATACACATCACCTTATGTATTCGAATAATTATGTTTCTAAAAGATAAAGAAAGTGGGAAAATATCAAATCACTGACCCCACATAGATCTGCCAACGGTAGAAGACCTTCAATACCGACTTGAGCTAAAATTCCAAGTGCTAAACAAGCAGGACGGAAACGATAAACTTCCAACGAACACAATGCAATCTCCATAACTGTTCCCAAACGTTTATAAACAAGAGCTTTCCAACTGAAATCCTGACGAGCTGTTACGAGATTCTTTTTCACCTCATCTGATTTCTGTACACTTGAGGTTATATTGATTGTCTCTGTCACTTTTTCTACATCTGATTCACGTAAATAACTACTCATATTCAGACCAGCATTGATCAATTCGTCCTCCATGATATCTTTAGATTTAGTCAAACAGTCGATGAAAAGTTGCAAGAAATCGAATGCATTTACTCCATCAAGATCGTGAGATAATTTAGAATCGAGGATTTCCTCCATACGCAACAAATCAGCCGCGTTACCACCACAACGAGTGATATGTACCATTATTTCTGGATCAGGCAACATAACATTCTTGAAAAAAAAATTGGAACGAAAACACAAATGACTAAATTATTTCTAAATGCAGGTGAAAACGGTAGCCGTTAAAAATTTTGAACGAACAGTAATACCATATAGACATTTCGAAATTCAAGCTGGCATATATATACTAATAAGAAATGCCGTACATACTGCCGAAATTGTATTACTAGTACTTGTTACACTTAACCACTGACAACGTCATGGGTTGAAACCCACTTCATTTCATAACAATAATTTAAACACTTACTATGTTACCATTAATCAGGTACACGAAGTCGTCAGGTTGTACCAATTTTAGACTTTCAGTATTGAGAAAACTATCTTCTAATTTAATAAATATTTTAGCGGATTATTAAGTGATGAGTGAATTTAGCGGAAATGTTTAAGTACGTACGAGCCGAAAAATTGGACTCTAACTCGCGAATTAATGAATTTAGTATATATACACGAGTATATCAAATACATCGAAGTGTGACCAACACAAGTATTGAGTACCTAAATTATGATGGTGAAATATTAGTTAAATGATCTAAGCAGTTCTTGAAAGTACATAAGAGAAAAAAAATTAAGTATATGTGAATAAATTTATTGAGAATAATATATCTTGTTTAACAGTTCAAAAAACTTCAGTTGCACGAAGTGACAGACTAGTGTTAAATTTAGAGATGATCAATTTAGCTCAGCAACCGACTAAATTTTCTCTATTAAGGTATGAGGAATACTATGTACGACCGCTATTATAATATTAGATGCTACAATTACAGATTGTCTTAATTCCTGAATCTTCTTAAATTTACAATGTTTTATACAAAATTGCAGTTAAAAGAACTGAAATTTATTATCTGTATTAAACCCATGCTAATTTAAACAAATGAACTCGATTGTATTACTGTCATAATATAAAGCTATCCTCTTTCAATAAATATAGAAACGGGGTAGATTTTCAATTGTTTAGTTAATCATGAGGTGTTTATTGGTGGACTGATTAAGTTTAATAAATAAAACTACAATTTATTTAATTACATTAGGTATTGTAAAGATAGCGAGCAAATAAAATAAACAACTCAATGAAAAATTGACAGTTGTAATTGACAAAAACTCGAATATACTCAAAAGGTGAGTAGAATATTAGTTGACAGATATACTAAACTGACCAGCTTATTGGTGAATAATAGATCAACCTGCAGAACGCACATACGATGATATATTTCATAATTTATGTCAGTTAATTTAAGTAATAATAAGTTTTTTTAAAACCTAAACCTAGAGTAACAATTAAACTTGAATAAAATGGTGTGATTTTTCTAAAAGTTTAAGAAATGAGCTTATTTTAATGTTGAAGAGAAACTGCTTCATAGGATTGGTGAGAAAACTTTATAATGATATACATAAAAGTTATCAGTAAAGAAGTATAGGGTAGAATAGTATGATAATGAAAACACTGACCACATTTCCAGCTTAATGGATGATCAAACACATCTTATAGGAATATATTTTTTATACAACTATAAATACGAACGTACAGCATAAGTAAATGATTTCGTCAAAAAGAAAATTGCCTTCACTAAATGCTCTTTATTTTTATTCAATGACACAATGGGTTATTTTAATTATACAAACAATTTATCAATCTGTTATTCAGATTAAATCACATAAAGTGAATTTAAACAAACTTGTGAAATGACGGTGATTTGAAGATATTATTATTATTTCATGATAAGCTACAAGGTAGTCTTTAAAATGTACCAAATTCGTACATATGTCCTAATGACTGAATAAAAAGATGTATCAACTAATTTAATAAAATTAAGTAGCTAAACCACAAGCAAGCCCCTGTGTTTTTATGAGACGACTAGTATCACTAGTCGGATGCATGAATTGAGGTAGGCAGAGTTCAGTTCAAATTTACGAACTGATAGCTTGAAATCAAATGCTTTAAACATGAAAAACTAGATGGAAATTAAGCTGGTAATAGTATTAACATACCTTGTTATTTGAGCTACTCAATTTGCATACAGCACAGTAAGAAGCAGCAGCTACACATGCCATGTATTTAGGTTTGACCTGGAAAAAAAATAATTATACTTGAAGGATGATCAATTCAGTTATGTATATATATCAGATTTATTCTGAATTGCTTCATTTGAACGATTTTAACACGAGTACTGAACAAAGCAAAATTTTCAGATTGTCGGTATACGTTGGGTACTATGATGTGTGAAATAACTTACGACGCATACTGTGTGGAATTCAGTTTAATCACCTATAAATTTAATTACATGCGACTATTTGAGTTAAACTTATTTGGAAAACAAACAGATAACAGTAAATCCAAATGAAAACAGTGTTAATTAGTGAGGATGAAATTTTAATCACGGAAGTAGAGCATCTAGTCAGTATCATCATTAGATAGTTATCTTTGACGTATTACCTGTCGTTCTCCCTCTCAAACTGAAGTATGAACTCAGAATAATCACATCGTAACCAGCTATTGCTGGTGTGGCTTTAGATAAGACTACCACCCCTTTTAAAGTATATTTGTAAGTTCAGATCCTGGTTTGGCTCCCTCAAACATACCTAGAATTCTAGTGCCTTACAGACGTCTTGCCTTAAGCGGATTAGTGGTTATAGCCGCCGTTGCAACCAAATAACGAACCGAGTTATTATCAAGACTATCCTGCCAGCTCGCCGAAAACTTTAGATGAGCATAGGCTAAATTTGAATAGGGATATGAAAATGACAAGTGACTTGTGAATTTATGAAAAGTCCCAATTATGAAGACTGGAATTTTAAAGACTCTCTCTAAACTCCTCGAGACACCCCGGTCTATTACGGGAGAATACGAGTTTAGTGATACACATGGAATCCTATATCCGATAATTTTACAAAGCCTGTGTAAAAACTGAGGAACCTGGTGGTTGAAATTTGTTAACGAGCTGAAAGCAATAGTCGCATCTGGTACCTCCAGGTAGTTATCTCCACTCAAACAACACACTGGTAACAAGTTTTGTACCAGTGAAACAACCTATGAGTTTGATGCTACGCCAATTAGCAACACCCAAAGGTGTCGGGAGATGGGTGTTTTTCGACGGACAGTTTGGGCAATCTGTCATTCAAAATCATTGATTATACTGTCTTAAGCTCTCTGGCCAGTGACTACCTATCTACTTAATGAAGAGGCACCAAAAAAATCTTTTGCTTACAGCAATATGGTAATAATATACTTGGAACTAGATTGGACAACACTGTTGATTATTCGCAAGAATGGTTAACTAACGAAAGCTTGATATTGCACAAACTACGGTCCAAACTGACTCTTTGACTCACGAAAGTACACAACTACCTTCCAATTACTACTCGGTATGATCAAAGTATTGTACCATAATACGGAATAGAGGACCACATAAGTAATGAATCATAAGTACATAAACAACTGTTTTAGAATCCAACTAAATCTCGCTGATTTAGTCGACACACAAATCATATGTTTTTTAGAGTAATATAAAGCTGAATGTCCAGAATATGAAAAGATTGAACATAACTACAAATTATTTGGTTTAACCACAAAGTACTACAAATTAACTATAATAATGTTTATACAGAACTCTGATAAAGCAGAAAGACTAGAGAGAATTAATACATTTTATTAAATGCTTTATAAGTTGGATAAATACACTAGATACGCTGAAAATCATTCCCGTTTAGGAATTAATATATCATCAATACAGTTAAGGTCTAGGAGGATCTGTTGTGCGCTTAACTGATAAGGCTGGTTTTTCTGAGCCTGCTACAAAAATAAAAAAATAAATCTATATTTCCACTAGGTTTTCGTTTTAATCACTACACGAAATTAATGACTACAGTTAACAATGGAAGAAATCGATCAGATTGAAATGGGGATATGGTAGTCGTGAATCGGAAACACAGATTAACAAATATTAAGCTCAACGCACTATTTTTTTGACGTACTAATAATTATAAATTTTCTTAGATTATAGATCGTAAAGGAAAACAAAATACACTAACGTAATTTATGTTAAAGATAGAGAACAAGACCCTGTAGATGAAACAAACTTCCTGATACTAATGTAATAGTACTTTGTACTCAAATGAGTGAGAGTATAAATGTAGTTTCATAGCACTGCAATCACAGTTGATTCGTAATATTTCGAAGTGAACAAATTCAAAGGCAAATCTAATAGAACTAATTTCTGCTCACCTTGACTTTAACAATGAAACGATCAATGAGATTGACAGCTTTACAAAATGTTTCTGTAGACAGATTAAAAACTGAATTGTGCAAAAAGCGCAGATTGTGTACCGCCTCATTTCGAAGTACGGCGTCGACTTTATCATCGACTTCCTATTGGTAAAATTTAAAAGAATATTAACGAAACATCAGTTGAGAACATTGAAAATAAAGTTTTCTATGAAATGGGAAGACTAAAGCAGCTTCTCATAGGTAGTGAGGTAATTAAATATGTTTGGTTAAGCTTTATTCCCAAAATGAAATGTTATATTTACATAGATCTTCATCGGTGTTATGAATTAGTATCTAGAGTAATGAGATTGTATGTCTTTGTGTTATAATTATGGACACAAATTCCCTTGACTGCTTTAGTACTTTTCATATATGCCTACAAATATTATTTTATAATAGGGCAGGTCCTGATTAATATTCAATTGAAAGCAATATTCTTCGCTTATACCTGATGTTCTAAACCAGATGAAATTAACTTAGAGTTATGCTAAGAAAGATAAAATGCTAGTGATTAATTTCTGCTTGGGAATGCATATAATATAAACACATAAGCAACTAGCTACAGTATCACTTACTGGATTAACATAATACAGGAAGGCATTGTTTGGTTGGTAAATAAATTCCTTCGAGAGTAGATCTTGCAGGCGATCATTATTAAGTGAAGAGAGCTAAAAAAGAAAGCAAGGGGTTTCATATAACAAAAAGACTGCTTGTCGGCTGGAACATTTACGTTAGTACTAATAATATAAAAGTTACTGGCAATGGATGCAACAGAACTGCGAATCCATGTTACTTAAGTAAGTCAACAACGAAAGTTGTGTATATTGACGCAACCTAGAGGAAACCTCAAAAGACGCCTAAAGATTATACAATTATTAACTGGACTTTCCTGACAGCAGAAGGTCAATAAATGACTAGTATTGATATGATCGAACCAGTTCCGACTAATCATCCACCAATGGAGAAAACAATAATAAGGAATGTGAAGCTCAGTAGCCACATGATATCAGTAACAAAAATAGATAGGAAGTAAACATGGGCTTAGTACTTTGGAGATTCAAACTCGATAAGAACGTATCAACGTGGACAAAATAGTAATATTGAACAGAATTTCAACAGATAACAGCTTGGTATAAGGGACAAACTTACAGATTTGAGCGACTTTATCTTGGTTTCTAAACCTTAATAACAAAATCACTAGTCAGTATGCAGTAAAATAATATATGGACATCTCTTTAGGTGTGGCAAAATAGGTGAGATGAAAACATTCAAATGTGTTATGATAAGGAAGTACAGGATGGCCTTTTATTGTCCTAACCCATGTTCATTGAACTTGTCCTAGCACAACTACCTCAGATTAAAAATAAGTTGAACCACACATTATTAATAGCCTGGCATATGTCGGACACAGTAAGCTAAAAATAAACTCAACTATGAGTATGCGAAGACCCCACAAGATTTAATACCTTGTTTCTGTGGTTTTGTAGTTATCTTTGGAGTATGAAGAACAACGTCTACAAGAAATCCTTACCAAAGATTAGTGGAGGAAATGAGTAATTACATAGAACTTAAGCAAGGTAACTATGCTTACTTTGCAGACTATATGTGAGTGACATATTTTGGACAAATCAGAGCGAAGATTATTTTTCGGTTGTAAAGGACGTAAATAACATGCCGCCGGAGTAGATATTGACATATCTTCTAAATTTTCGTTTGACTGACCGTTAAGCTCCGGACGCGAACGTTTATAATCAGAAGTAGTATGCGAAGGATAGTGGTTCATGAAAATCTTATGGGCAGTTTGCTTCGAATCAGCCGTATCACATAGAATATCGACAATATTGGACTTTTGAGAATCATTTCCGCTGGACACAGAATTCGGGTCATATTTCTGAGCTCGGCGTATACGACTAGGATATCGCCGGTATTGTGAGATAGTACGTTTAGGTGCCCTGAGTAAGTTAAATCTGGATTTGGCAGTATAAAAAGATGCAACACAGCCATTATTATTGGAATGCGTTGTTTGAGAAGAAAATGACTGTTGGTGCTGATTAAAGACTTTGGCCATATTTTTTTAATTGTAGCTGTATTCACAGAATCTGATCACTTGGTATATATGAGAAAATATATCAGCTGTAGCAACGGACAATGAATAAAAACAAGTTGATTTTGAGTTTTGTAAAATAAAGCTGTTGTGTAACAAAGAAGTATCACCACGAACAAATGAGAGGTGACCTAGGAGCTCGCTGATCGCAAATTAAAGGAGCTACGTTGCCCAACTTGTGCCACAATGGGTTAGGCTCTCAAAGACGAACGTCCTTTATCGCCAATGAATAAGTAGTAGTTTCAACCAATAAAAACAAAGGTCATTAGTAACGACAATTTGACCAAACAGATATTCGATTACAAAAATCGATGATGTCGGTTTAGCCAATCACAAGGTAGTAAATTTATCTTTGACCTTGGATCAGATTGATAAACCAACAGACACGTTTAACTATTGCCCTAGATAAAGAGTAGTGAGGTGTGTGTTTATTGGTTATGTGGTTAGATCGACCTTTGTTTTTCTTTCTAGGCTTTTTAATTTTAGTCATCATAACAAGAGCGATTCATACAATTGTCTGTCCCGCGATTAAATATCCAAATTAATAATTTGAAAAATGGCCAGGTTAAGGGCAAAGTGCATCATTTTTAAGTTAAAGCGTTTGAATTTAGGATTGTCCAACAAAGTAGTGCTTCCAGGTTTTCAATGGTGGTCTAACAATCATCGATTCATGATCTCAATCAAAAACTTAATAATCTCCACAACCCCACACTGAAAATTAAATAAAATTGTTAATGTTGTTATGACTCATATAGAATGTTAACTTGAATCATCTCATATGTTAATTGAAAATTTTAGATCCATGAGCAGAATAAATTCGATTAAATGTTAAGTGGATGGTTATATTAGGCAAAAAGTTAGTAAGACATAATAAGGTGAGATGAATGAGAAGTAAATGGATCATGTATCGGGGAGATTAATAATGATTTTTAACCAGTAATAATCCAAAGATTTGTGAATAAGGATAACAGAGACAATTACTCTTCAGCAGTGCTGAGAAATCCCATGCAGGCACGAAATGGCTATCCAGGGCTTGCAGGTTTTCAATGGTGGTCTAGCCTACATCAACTCGTGAATTCAACTATTAAAATTACTACAATTTCCGCGAACTCCATTCTGATGATGACAATTACATTTGACTAAGTACAATAGTCAAATTATGTCATTCAATAGCTAAGATTACTATTGATTAACTGACTTTGAGGTTGGACAGGAGAGGAGAAATGGTTGACGATATTTCTTTTATGCCCATAGCTCCGGTTTCCTAATCCGGATGGCCATTGCTTCAGCCATCTGAAGGACTGTAAGTCTGACAAGTTTTGGAAAAAAATTACTGACCCAATAAGTACTTGAAAAGGATTCGCACTATGACCAGTTTTCACTAAATGGGTCAATATCGAGTTGTTCACTTTCTTCATCAGACCTTTGCTTAATCACCCTGGGAGGTGTTTGCGGCACAAAAATATGAATTCCTAGGACTTCGACCAATATAACTTGCTCCATCTGAGTAGTCGAACTGATAAAATTCACTTAACATATAAGCTAATTCAAGTTAACATTCTATATGAGTCATGTCAACATTAGCAGTTTTATTTTATTTCGTTTGACAATCGTAACTTCATGTGCTTTAACTTGAAAGTGATGCATTTCGACCTTAACCTGGCCATTTTTCGGATTATTAATTTGGATATATAAATGCAAAACCTGAAGAGAATTTATCGAAAAGAATATTCTTCATTCAAACATTAGTATTTTAATATGATGGAGATCTTTAAACAATTGTCTGTCCATTTACTGAGTTCGTGATCATGACAGACAGAGAAACCAACCCGTAAACCGTTGGGTAATATATATTCCGTTATCTGTGTCAGGAGATGTGGGATATTACAAAATTTAAGTGGACAGAGATAATCACCTTAAAAATGTAATGACACTGACTCGCATGGCGTCTTTACGATCCAGATTGTACATTGATGATCAACGGTGGAAGGCTTATTTAAGACTATTTATTATTATTATTATTATTATTATTATTATTATTATTATTATTATTATTATTACTTTAAGACTAAAAAAATGTTGAGCGATTCAGATGCTTTCAACCATTGATGGCTATAAAATCTTGGTATCTTAGATCCAGTCATTATACAGATATTTAACACCTATTATCTGCAGAATTTATTCTAGATGAAGTATTAGTGTAAGGTTTGAATGGGTCTTGATTTTATGAACTCTATATATCATCTTACAAAATAAGAGCCGTGTATATTAATTTTATTGTGAACGACCATTTTTCCACGTCTGCATAAAATGTTGGGATCAGTAAAGAATAATGCTCAGTTAAATGATTGTTATAACTTAACACTCGCAACAAACTAGTCTCTTAATGCTTCTATGGGGGATTGTAATATTAATGATACCGAATTGATAAGATATATATGGGAAAATTGCTATAAATTTCAGTGTCAATGTTAGATGAATATTATTAGTTTGTCAAGTGATTTGATTTTTCTGCAAATAATTTCCTCGTGTAAAGAAAGGACTATCAACTCAAATCACAACTAGTCTTCCTCAAACGAGAACTAGATATTACAAACTCACTTTTTATTAATACAATTAAATATTTGAATCAGTGATAGGCTGCTTTTGTCACTCGGTCGGTGAAAAGCATTCCATGAGATATGATAAATATAATCAAATTCACTAAGTATTCGTAATTTTTTGAACGCAAATGACCTTTTCTATATTAGAAAACTCGAAAACAAATCGGCGATAGCATTACACTCAATAGGAGTGGGTCATACAATTGATTTCACTGACACAAGAATGCTTCAAAAAGGCTTTAACTCTTACAAAGAAAGACTAACAGCTGAAGCCTTACACATATGGGCAAATCCAAATAGTATTAATAGGAGAGATATAATACAATTAGTTGTCCCATGGTAACTAATGAATAATAATTAACCCTAACTCCTTATTACATTTTATCTATCTCTTATTATCTTAATAAGAGCAATTACATTCAACGATTCTAATCAGTTGTTATCTGAATATGTTAAACAGTTAACTGGAACAACAACAAAAAATACAAACATTCAATCACAAATACATTCTTCTTCTTTGAATCCACTCTTTTAATTTGTTTATTTATCTTCATTTTATGCATGCTGTGACATATTTGATCCATATCATACATAAAAATTATATGCTTTCTTAAAAATTATCACTATGGGGTTGTGGAGATTGTTAAGATTTTGATTGACATCATAAAACGACTGGTGTCCGACCACAATTGAAAACCTGGAAGCACTGGCCATCCGTTTCGTCTTAGTATGTGACTCCCCAACAGTGAGCATCCACGACTCCGCCCCCAGGATTCGAACCCAGAATTTTTCTATCGCGCGTGCGAACGCCTAACCTCAATGGTGGTTTAACATTAATCGTTTCGTGATCTCAATCAAAAATTCTTAAAAATTCACCGAACAATATATAGTGAATGAAATTTCTTCTCACACCACCTACTTGTACACACAATCTGTTATCTTAAATATATTCGTTTCATACCACATGTCTCTTATACACTAGAGCAAACACCTACTTTAAACATTGTTAACGTTGACTGGATGACCTGTTTAGTATACAGTTAACCAGAGAATCTTATACCTATCTACACTCGATAATTTTGATGTTTGGTTATATTTCCTTAAAAAGCTTGGACCAGACTGTCAGGTGAAACGTTGGATTTACTTCAAATTCATTCGCTGAGATTTTACAAATACATTCTTCCTCTTTAAATATAATCATCGCTTTCATATCTCATGAAAATGTTGGTTTACTGGTGATCAATGTTCTGTATTGAAAATTTTTCGTGTTTACAGCATTGTGACTGATTCTCACTAAGTTATCCAGTATCCAACTACCACTTACAATATTCACGCGAACTCCGACCAGGTGGTCTGTATTAATCAACAGAAATCTATTCTATAGTCGAAAAATTCACGGGCTGATATCGCATCTTGGTTTGGTCGACCTTAGCTATCATTCGAACTACTCCTATACCAGTCAGGTATGCGGCAGTTTGGAATACCTAACACATGTCCCAACGAATTCAGTTGACGAGGAATTACTGCGTTTGCCATCAGAGTTGTTTTCAGTACATATGAGCCTGTGTTTAACCTCAGTATTACTGGATCTGTGGTCCCGATAAGGATGGGGAATGCTTCGAAGTCATCTATGGTCAAAAAGTAAAAAACTTATGAATATTATCTATTAATAAAGACCAAATTTCAGTATTATTATTACTATTATCAATGCATCCTCCATCAGGTAGACAAGTTTTCATGAATTTTATCCAAGTAACATCCAAGTAACCATTTTATCACTTGGATACAGCTCAATAAAGAGACTTTACCGTTAGTATAGTATGTTTTCAATTAACTTGTATGATTTTAAACAAATTGGGTTACTGAGCAATCAATTGTATCTTTATAATGATTTGATTATATTTCAATTGATTACTTGACAAATAATTTGAAAATGTCAACCTACACTTCAGAAGTTAGTAATACGTTCCACATGATTGTACAACTTTAACAATTCTGAATAAATTAGACCATCAAATAGGTTGGATGAGTTCAAAAATGTTTATTTTATTAATCTAATTCTATCTTTTTGTGAGAATATGCATGAAATGCAATTCTTATCCTTTACACTTTTTACATAATATAGTATACACACAAACGTAGAATTTCTTAGATAACTAACTTTTGGATATTTTTTTTAATGACCGTAAATACACAATAACAACTAACTTTGTACTTCTGAAAATCAATATTTAAATTGATAGAATACTATTAATATTCAAACTTACATTACAACTATATTGATTTATACGCATAGTTTGTTGTCATTCTACGTAAGTACCTTGTATGGAAGTATGATAATGTTAAATATACTAGAATTAGTCATCGATCTTAACAAAATCGCATTCTTTCGGTATCGAAGTAATTTTAAAATGTTTCACAAACGGGTTTAAGTAGCAAGCCAGAATATCATAAACAGTTTTAAACTACCAAGAAAGTGTTTTCATCAAAATTGAATAGTGGAATCCAGGACTCATGTTTCATCCCATCTCAGACACTCTATATGGATTCACATTTGTATTACACTGTGATACAATCACTTACAGATGAACAGGAAGACATTCT